GAGAGAGAGAGAGAGAGAGAGAGAGAGAGAGAGAGAGAGAGAGAGAAGAGTATTCATTCATAGAGATCCCCGTGAGGAGTGTTTGGAGGCATTCCGATATCACAACTTACATTCTTCTGTTTGCTCTTATCCTCTTCTTTAACTTCTTTCGATGCTCCTATATATATTTTTAATGAATTACCATGTATATGACTCTTTACGATTCACGACTGGATCATGATTGCATGTATCTTAAAAGAGTGAGGAATTTAATGTCATTTCGTTGTGGCTGTTGTCCCTAGTCGATATATAATGTGGAGAGATGCTTAACCAGAATCCACAGTTATCTTCGAGACTTGTGAATTGTCGGATATTTTTGCAGTTTAAGTTAATTATTCAGTGTATATACAGTTTACATATAATATTAAATTCACATTATTTAAGTTTTTTTTTGATTAAAAATACATTACTTAAATTAGTGCAGTAATTCATTTACAAAATATTATCACGTATAATATACTATAATATATACGGAATATATATGGAGCATCGTGTAATTAAACATAGATGCAATACAAGTAATTCACGAGATACCAATAGAATTTGTCCGTATACCACATTTTGTAGCGGTAAAGAGAGCCTACAAGGTAGACATGTGAGAGACGAGAGGATCCTGTATATATACATACACTTTGAAGATACTCAGATCTCTACATCATCATTCATCACTCACACACACATACACTTTCTCTATATATACCGAAGAGAACCAAAGAGGAAGAGCAGAAAAAGCTCTCATTATAAAGCATATATATAAGAATAATGGTTTCGAGAGAACACAAGAGAGGTTCATCTCTTCGTGAGAAGATTCATTTGCTTCGTTCAATCACTAATTCTCATGCTGTAATCAGATTCCACCATTCTATATATTTTCTTGCTTTCTTTTCATAGTTCGACACAATTCGATTCTTCTATATGATCATATATTAAATTCAGTCCTACTATTATTATATATTTATTATATTTGTCTATATTTCATTAGAGGAAACATTCACATTCATATATGCCAATCTACCCGTACGTAATTTCTATCTATCTTTTCATTCATGAGATTAGAGAGATCAAACTTTACTCCGCACATATACTTCTCTATCTAGACATTTTTTCATATGAATATTAAGTACTTGATTCTTGTTTTTTTCTTAACTCTGGGGGACGATCGAGTATTAATAAATTCTAAATTTTGACTAATCAATTTGTGAATTGTGATACCTTTTTTTTTTCGTTTCTTCAAGTGCTTAAGTATACTTCTTTGAGGAAAAAAAGTTAAAATCTATATATGTATTTTTTTTTTCTTGTTCTATTCATTAATTTACTTCTCCGGCCCACGATTACTTAATGGAATATATTAAAGATAATTTTCTAACAAAATGGAGTACATATTAAGAGCCAGAACATGACCGAGAAAAGGGACTAAATAATTTCTATTTTTGATTATTTAAACTTAACAGCATCACTGATATGTATGCTCACACGTTTTGCAGGAGAGTGAAACATCGATCATAATGGATGCATCAAAATATATCAAAAAGCTTAAGCAAAAAGTCGAAAAAATCAACAATGGGACCTCATCCGAGCAATCATTCCGCGACCCTTCCGATTCAAACCCTACGGTATATTATATATAAACAGATAAAGTACCCACTGATGCATATATATATATATCAAGAAGCATTGCCTTATAGTTTTTCGGGTTTTTGTATCGGTAGGTTACAGTGGAAACCCTAGAGAAGGGGTTCATGATAGAGGTAATGTCAGGGAAGAATGAGGCAGGGATGTTGGTTTGTGTTCTTGAAACCTTCGAAGATCTTGGACTTGATGTTGTTGAAGCTAGGGTTTCATGTACAGACACATTTAGCTTACATGCCATTGGTTCATCAGATGTAAATACCGTTCGATCTTCCTTATCACCATCATCATATAAACAATAATAAACATAAACAAATGTGACGATAAATAGATTAATTTACTACGTACGTATATTGCAGAATGATGATGGAGACAGGATGGATGCTGAAGCAGTGAAACAGGCAGTGGCAGAAGCGATCAGGACCTGGAGTGATAGTCATCATGCATGATCCAAAATGGCTATAGACCAGATCATAGTATTCATTCGTATCTACTATATATATATTTATACATTTGTTTGACCTTAAAAGAGGCATATGATTACGCAAAAAATAATAATTGTATGTTCTCTCAATTTCTCTAGTAATTTCCTTGGCACCAAGTTAATTAATTCATCACTTTACATGTGAAAACTTGTTTAACCGGTTCTATTGGAGATTCTAATACGACACCGTTCTTATTCACTGGAACGTTTAACCGGTCCCTGGCGTTGTTTAATGGGCTTATTATGTATTGTTAGTGGGCTTTAATATTGGCCATTTCTACAAAAAAACATATTTTTTTTGTTGACGTTTGTCAGAAAGCAAAAGAGGAAATCGGTTAGACTCTAAACCTTGAAGGATTAAGATCAATGAATTAAACTGTTATATAAAATAAACATACACAAGTTTACACTAAACATTCATTGATATCTTACTAATTGAATTAATCACTTCTCTTGCTTCTCGTTTCCATCAAGAACGCTCTTGTGATCTGCACACATAGATGTTGGTTTTTCTGAGAAAATACTTCATACTTATCCGAGAAAACGACGTCGTCCATGTTCCGCACCACGAACCTTAGACAAGCCTCCTTCAGCGTCTTGCTCGAACCAAGATCCGAGACATCAAGAACGTCAAGAACGCTAGAGATGTCCAAGGAATTCAGCATATGTTGCTCGCACAAATCTTGCAAGTAATGGATCATGTACTTATCCGCCGCAACAAACAAGGCGTATACATGTTTCTCCAACTTGTCTGAAGCCAATGTGCCGGTGTATAGAAACTCCAAGAGAGCTTGAAGTTGCTCGGAGTTTAGTTCTTGGAGCGTTATTGCGTATTCTGGAGCAGTTTTGCATCCGTCTGAGTCTAGAATGTTCTTGAAGATCTCGGACTTCGAAGCCTATATATATTGAAAGCACTCAAAGTCTCAAACCTCAAATCTTTTTTCTTTTTAATTAATAAACAAAATATAATATGATTGGTTTTTATGGTAACATGTTACTATTATCAACGGTAATGAATTTTGATTAAAACCCTACAAAATTATGGGGTTTTTTTTCTTTCTAATAATATATAAAAATTATAGTTTATTTTGAATGTCAACACACTATTACTATTATAACAAATAAAAATATTAAACACTGGCGCAAAATAAGGAAGAATTAGATCGATGAAATTACCAGCAAAGCTCTATGTGCAGGAATTGGAGGGCCATCGTCGCCGGCTCTAAGAAGAATATCAGCATGAAGCTGTTCTTTGAAACCCGAAACAAAGCTGCTCAAGAAGACTATCCTTTTCTTCTGTTCTTCTTCGGTTTCTTTCATGTTTTTCATCCATTTGATCACCTTTTCTAGTGGTTGCGGCTGGAAACCCTCGAACGAGTATATTGTTAAAACTCACATAAAGCCGGTAAATTGATGTATTTTATTATATAATCAAAAATTTAAATCTTTTACAAACATGTATGGAGCTTTAATTACCTCACAAGAAAACAAAGGAGAAGAAGAAAGAGAGGAGCCATTATTGATGGTGGACTCATGGGTTGATTTGTCATCATCTTCGTTCGAGCCCTCGAGCTTCTTGAGCAGCGCGATAGTGGTTTTAGCACCTTCGTAGCAAGATCCACATATTGTGTTCCTTGGTGGTCTTAGAATAGTTGGCATTGTGGTGCAGATTGAGCAATCCATTGAATCTTTCTTAGTTTGTATAGTTTCCTCTTTTTCTAGCTATCTAGCAAATTTTCTGAAGTAAACGTACGAGAATATGAGCAAGGTCAATAGAGGAAGATGAGATTGGAGGAGCAGTTTCTTGCTTCGAACGCAAGTTGTTAAAAAGTATTGTTCAAGAGTTGGTTAGAGATGGTTACGTTCTTGAACACATTTTTTTTTATAATATAGTTTCCGTAAATAATCAACTCGATGATATATAGATGATTATTTCCGTAAAGAGTTGTTGAACAACAAACAAAACAACGCAAAATGAAATGATTAAGTCATGAAGGAATCTTTTTGGGGGCAGTTGAATTGTCTGGTTGGAACTTGGAACCTTCATGCGATATCATATGAGTATTTAATTAATATGTTTGTTAATGATTAATTTTATCTATTATATGCTGGACTGGATATGCTTCGCATGTACATGATCGATGTGTTAAACGTAATTAGTAAAATTAACTCATGAACAATTAATTAGAGAGGAGATAAAGAATACATAGATTTGAGATACGATGGATAGCTTCAAAAGCTAAAAGACGTAATAAGTTGGGAACCAAAAAATAAAATGAAAAGGACTTTCCAACCTTTCAACAGCAAATATGTTTAGTGTAAGCACGTCGCCCCCTCCATCCATCCATCGACATATGCATCTATACTTGACTATTAATTGACTTTATTTTATAGAAAACAAATATCAATCAACTCATTAATTTTGGTAAGATGAAATTTGTTTTTTCTTTTTCTTTTGTATGGATATAAAATGTGTTCACCCAAAAAAAGAAAAAACCATGTTTACAAATGCTGCGTTGTGCTGAAAGATAAAGTTTTCCCCTTATTATATTAACTAGATTAGTATTTTAGAATGAAGGACTATAAAAATTTTGCAAAAGGACTTGGGTTGATTCTTAATCACATGATCAAATCTTTATATTTTTATTTGTTGCTGTATTGCGACTAATACAAAAACCTGACCAATAAATTCAAGTTATTTCATCGATTGGCTAATATCGATCGTAACGGAAGTTATTAAAATTGACATAATTAACTTAATCAAACTCGTCAAGACTACGTTTTCGTTACATATAAATTTAAAACTAATCAGATTCGCATTCCCTTTTTTTATATAGGAACTTCATTAATTATCAGAATTATTTCATCCCTTTATGCCTTTACCCTATCGGTAAAAGGTTAATGGATAACGGCTGGTACACTACCATTTATCTTATATGTCGACATCTTTTACCGAGAGCGATACCATCACCGATCTCGTTGTATGTATTGCACTATTTCTTACCAGAAACATTACTATCGTGTTTTAGTCTATTTGGTTTTGGGATTACCAATGGTTCAATGAAGCCATCTTAAGTTTCCAACTTACAAAAGTATATTAATGCATGGACCAGAAAACAACTTTTGCTTTGGGATTCCATATTCTTCATCCCGGCTCATCTTACAATTTCTAAAGAAAATGGTCCTTTTCTTTTTGTATATATATCCAGACAGATGACTGAATGGATTACGTTTTATAACAAGTATTTAAGGTTCTCACAGTCTTTAATTAATTAGTCTTTCTTTTCGGACGAAATTTAATCAATTAGTTAAAAACACTTTAAACTTTATAATAAGAGAAAGTCGGACCAACATGGGTCCAACATCTTCTTATCGAAGGTTGAAAAAGGTAATACATAAAAATATTAGGTATGTAGAGAGAAAGCAGCTCTTACAAGTTACAACAACGTAACACACACAAACAAAAGATAAAAAAAGCGTTGTAAAAGTAGATTAGCCTTTCTTTTCATCTTTAGTAATACTTAAACTTGTGATGGCTTAGTCTCGGCTGCTTCTGCTGCCACTTTTGGTTCAACATCAACCTTAGGCGCCTCACTCTTAGTCTCAGCCTCGGTTTTGGTCTCAGTCACGGCCTCATCAGCCTCGGTTTTGGGCTCAGCCTCAGCCTCGACTGGCCAGAAAGAGGTCTTCTTTCCGGTCTTTGAGACTGTTTGGAAAACTGCTTCAGGCTCAACATTACCTTTCACTGTCACCTTTTGCTCCTTGATATCAATGTCAAATGACTCAACCCCTGAAATTATTTTGTTAAGTGTGTCTAGGGTCAACGACTTACTAAGCATAAAAAATAACCAAATGATATATTTAAAAAAGTATATGAAAAAACACATTGAACCAAAAAAAAAAAAAAAGATTAGAGAAACATACCTTCCATTTTGCCCAAGACTCTATTGACGGCACCAACGCAGCCTTGGCATGACATACCGACTTTGAGGACAACGGTCTGCACTTCCGTTAGACGATGTTAGAACCGTATATATAACTTACCGGACCTGTCCGGTCCAAATATATTAACAGCTAATACTAAGCCAATCAATTTCATTTGTTTTCTTTCCTTTTTTGCAATTTTATTATTAACTTCCAAAAAATTAATTGTCATAAAACTGATTAGTAGGATGCTTAAAATGGATTAATCGACCATTTCAGACACCCCCTAAAAATTTATGGAAATGAACACACACAAAAAAAAAAGACGTTCGTTCATGCGTCCAGTTCATTCTCTCCAAAACATTATTCAATCGTTTTATGGACAAGAACCAGACGTAAACCCAAGTAAATGGAGAAGGAAACAGAAAAAAAGAGAGAGATTAAAGTAAAAAACATTACCTGAGTCATGATCACTAGAATAATTGAGATGAAACGAATTCGATAAAGCTTTGAGATCGATGATCCGAATTGGAGAATGAGATGTTCGTTTGTTGAATGAAAAGAAATGGTGCCTTCTTGACTATATATAGTAACGCAAAAGCAAAAAAGAGATTCGGAAGAGGAGTTAGCGTAAAGGAAACGAGAGCATTGTGAAATTAGTGCATTTTACCATTATTCCCCAATAGAATATAAAAGGTTTAGGAAGGTTAGTTATACCTGATGTAGAAAAAAGCATACCAACTTTAAAATCCCACTAACGGAAAGTACAAGTACAAAAGAATTAGATGAGGTCTTCTTGTACTACACATGTTTTGTTGCAGTACCAATTACTTAAGTTTATTGGGGTCATTCAAAGTTTACTTTTATTAGATTAGTGTATTTGACTATGAACTTATAGAAAACTATTTTTATACTAATATTTTATTTGTTAAGCATTCTAAAGAATATCATGTACAATACAAAAAGAAACATCAATCTATTAAAATATTACTTTTAATTTTATCTTACGTTGGTCAATCAGTATATATATATATATACTATACATGTGAATTTCAATCGCAAGCCAGATTAAATCATTCGATTTCTTAGATAAATGGGTGTATGGACTTTCACAAATCCTTTTCAGTATGTTGTCAAAACAATTTTTATTGAATGATGAACAAAAGTATTATAACATTTTCTGTCATCCTACTCGAGTAAACATAGGAATGACTCTAGTTAACATGGTTTCATATAAGGATCCCCAAAAATGTAACATGGTTTCATAGAAGGATCTCCAAAAATGTTTTTGTCTCTTGAGTGGCTGTGAGACATACTTACTGTTATAGTTGAAATGATCAGTTTTTTTCCATTGTGCCTTCCTATGCGACTCCCATGCAAAAACATATCAGCATATATGTATCTTCTCAAAATAATGTGTTTAGATGTGTAATATGCCACTCGTTCACTGTGCGCTCTCGAAACGTACCCCCAACGAACCTATTTGAGGACATTTGGTTACGATCTCAATCGTCGTGTTCCAGCACAACTGTCATCAATATGACTCGGAATGCAAGATTCTTTATATTCCATATATCTAGCAACAACACAACGCAACGCGATATTGCATTTCCTCATCATGAACAAACCCGTTGGCCTAAATCGTTTTTTGAAGTTACTTGCATCACACACACGACGCTGAATTATATACTTTTGTGTCTACTTGGCAATTCATAGATAGATCACATCACCTAAAGTTGCAATTCCTTTTATGGATTGGTCAACAACACGCAAGACTCTTTTGATCCATTGATTTCAATTTTCCACCATTGCTCTATACAAAAAAAAAATGAAAAGTTTTAATAACTTCTTTAAGTACACCTCAGAAAGCTTTTAAAAGAGAAATGATACAATCCAACAAATAAATAAAATATGTGATCTTTTAGTGCTCTACTACTCTGCTCCCACTTTTAAAAACAACTATATATCCTCTGTCCAATTTTTTTTGTAAAAGTTTTCATGTTATCATATAGATTCTTTTAAAACCATCAATTTATATATTATCCTTAACAAAAAGAAAAAGTATTTATTAGATAATAATTTGTTCATCATCCTTACACTTCATAAAGTTTTTAAATTTTTAATAAAAAAGAAAAAGTTAATCTTACTATGTGATCCGAAAAAACAAGGGCCCAATGACAATACCCCAATTTGGGCTTCTCTGAAAATTCGACAATTTAGCTCTCTCTCTCGAACGAACCTTCTCCAGAACTCTTCTTCTCCTTTTCGAGCTTTATACCTTCCCGCCAACAGCGAGTGTAGAATCTTCTTCCCCAAGACCTCTAACATGAATATTCCGACGCGAAGATCACCGGGTAAATTAACGGAAGCTCCTCGCTCCGTCGGTGGAAGAATTCAGAGGAAACCGCTTGCGGATTGTACCAATATCGTCTCCAGATCTTCTCAACAGTCATCTTCTTCAGTCAAATTCGCGAATCCTAGTCTCACTTCTTCTCTTAAGAGGTTAGTTGATCAAACGAAGATCAAGGAGACACAGAAACCCAAAGATGTTATTACTTCTGAGGCCGCTTCTCCGTCTCCTGCTCCTGCCACGAAGGTTAGACCCGTCACTCGCCGTATGTCCGCCGATCTCGCTTCTCCGGCCTCTGCTCCTTCTCGTCCTCAAACATCGCGCACTGAATTGGGTAATTGATTTAGCTGCGATTACTTTGATCGAATTTGGTTCTATTGTATTGATTTTGAGGAATTTTCACTGAATTGAAATCGTGCGCAACTCTAGGGTTTTAGTTTTTGGGTTTTGGGGGTTTTAGGAATTGCTAGATTTATGCTGGAATTCATCATGGTATAGTGGAAGAAAACAGTTGGGTTATAACCATGTTAAGTGAATTGCAAATTGGTATCAAGCTAGGCTTCCATTGATTTTCAATTGATAATTTGTGCTTCATTCGTTTTGTTTCTATCATAAGCTGATGTTTAAGAGCTGTCTTATGCTTAGGCGTTAGTGACAAGGAGTTTGCAGAGCCTTGGTCTGTATACACGGTGAGAAGGAAAAGGAATAAACGCACATCTTCTTCCTCTAGTGCAGTGGCTCGCATGCCTCTGGACTTGACATCAAGCTCCGGGTATGAAACTTACTCGGGTGATATATATATATGATTGTTGAGTTTTGGGATTATAAGATCTGGCATGACTAATGGTAGCTAATTGACACGTTGAACCAGGCTAGAGCATAGTACTTGCTACTTAATATGTTGATGCTGTCTTGTGGCTTGTTTTATTCTTATGAGGATTTTTTTATCATCCACTTAGAGATTATAGATGAGATGACTAGAATTAGTGTTGAACCTATCATGCCCATCAAATTTATTTAGCATTTTGTGGCTTGTTGAAGCATGTCGTTGGTTGTTAATAATTCTCTTTGAAATTTGTATCACAGGAAGAAAACATGGCAAGCAAATGTAAAAACGAAGCCCTTGAAAGTAGCTCCTAAAAAGGTGAATTCAGGAAAGCTCAACCTATATACTTATCAAAGTGTGATAGTTCTGTGTTGCTCTCATCTTTCTGTGGAAAAGTAGCCATTACTTTTTATCGGTTTTTGGTGTCTAGCAAACTGTATATCAGTGCATTATATGTTTCAACATGTATCGGATACAATGTTCTTCTGCTCTCATTTCTGAAAGCCAGTACTATACATAGTTCAAAATAGATGCCTAGTTTTCAATTTTATGTAAATGATATTTTCTTTTCATAATGTGGATTCAGAATATTGTCATGAGATAAGCTGTGATTGCTGTTTAAGAAGATGTGCAACTTTTATCTCCTTTGTTCATTTGTAGAACCGTATACCTACTGGTCCCATATAAGTTTGCTCTGAATCTAATTCTTTATCTATGGTTACATTACAGAGGCAACGGACGGTAAAGCAAGAGAACGAGAATTCGGTTCATGCAGCTTCTCGTGATTATATCGAGAAGCAGAAAGCATACTTTGCAGAGATCGATGCATTTGAGCTGCCAGTAGAAGATGCATCTAGTGGCGACTCAGACTAAGTAAGAAGAGATAACAATCTTAAGGATATCATAGAGAGTTAGAGACACCATAACCCGTTCGTATTCACTGTATAGCTAAGGAGTCTTCTCACAGGGAATGTTCCACTGGTCACTTAGTACAGATGACAAGCCAACCTTTGTGTATACAACAGATCTATCGGTTTATAATATTTGACATCATTTCAGTGGGAGAAAGTTCTTGGTTCAAGATAAACATGAATTGACAAAAACCTTGTCCACAGTAAGGCCAGTAGGCCACGACTATATACATATACGTAAAACAGTTACATTCACACAGCAAGAACTATAATGAATGAGACATAGCAGCTCATAAAACGAATAATGAACAACAGAGCATAGATTCAGTAATTCACATAATCAAGCTTTATTCATGTCGCTGATTGTGAGAGCTTTACCAGTGGTTCCATGTCTCTTCAGATTCTCCATTGATCCGGAGAACAGAACTCTCTTCAGATTCCCCATTGAAGAGCTACATTTTATCCTTCCACCATTGGAGTAACACAGAGTCGAGGTTGGCGATGAGATAAGCTCATTCTCTTCGTAGTTAGCGTACAGAAGTGGCGACTTTTTGTCATGAGTCGCTCGTTTTTTCAAAGAATGTGGTGGCGAGGAGGAAAAGGAAGATGAAGAAGACGAAGAAAATGATGAGCTGGTTGTCTTCTTGCTACCGTGACTGCTCCTCCTGAGATCGTTAAACATGGACATGGACAGAAACTTGCTTAGTTTTGTTCTCACCTTGCTTTGTCTCTTTGGTGTCGAAAAAATCTCGGAGGAGTAATAAGACGGAGGTGGGGTGAGGGGCGGAGGAAGAGAGGAATTAGAGCAGAGGTGCTTTTTGGGTGTGCCTGGCCTTGACTCCCACATGAATGGTATGGAGGCTCCGCCATAGTAGGAGGATCTCTCGTTATCGAATGCATATTCATCTCCAAATCTTCCTGACATTAAGAGTGATCTCTTTCCCCACCAATGAAAATATTAAACGAACTCTCTCTTCTTTGTATTTGTGCCTCGTTTTGTATCAGACTTGAACTACGAAAATGGAAACAACAACTTCCAAAGCTTCTTTGAAAGTGACAAAGAGTACTGTGTTTTGCCGATGAAACAAAAGAATCTTCTCTGCACGGTTGTATATATAATCGTGGATATTTTTATTACGTTATTTCTTTTTACTTAAAGAGTTTTTTTCTCTTGGAAAAAATTCATATGGATGAGCATATTATAAGTATAAAAAGAAGATAATACATGGGAAAAGAAATGGTTAGATAATAATAAATGAAAGGTGGCTTGCCTATCTTACTGAGCTCGATGTGTATTAATGCTTTTTCATTAATTATGAGAGAGTCGTGGGGGATCACATCACATTATTGGTAAGCAGTTATAAAAGTTTCGATTTTATATGCATTGCTAATTAGAGTATTTAATAATATTCATATTAAATATGTTACCTTAAGTAGGATTCCCCTCTACAAACTTGATGTTTTTGAATGTTCTTGTTATTAAGGAAATAATTATGGAACGACGATCTATTTCCCCTCAGAAACTATCATATTCGACCAGTTCCACCCATACTTTTACCCTCTTTCTGAGTTTCCCTCAAAAATAAGTTCTACAATTATTTCCCCCCACTTATAAAGTTCGAAACTTTTTTCCCCATTTAGTAAAAGATCGAAACCGATTTACACATGGAGCTGGGTTAATGTTGGTTTACTATAGACCAATGTCGTCTTAACCATGTAAAAGAAAACTAAACCTATACTAAACCAATTTAATTAAACTTAACCCGATTAAAAGAAAAAAACCGAAATAAAGAAATCCCAAATTCGATTTCATCAAGAACCCTAATCCAGTTACGCGATTTCTTCATCTTCCCAAATTTTCTTCTTCTCCGAATCGATTTCGTTTTTTTCCAACATGTCACTTCTCGATGAAGAGATGAACGGTGTCCCTGTTGACGAAGAACCCGATGATGAAGATGTGGAAGATATAACCGCTCGAAACGACTACAACCTAGAGCAAGCAATCATCGAATTCGTCGATGAACCGTCGATTCGTCACGATACCATTCCCGAAAGTGACAGTGATGAAGAAGAAGAAGATGTTCCAGGGATGAGATGTCGTAACGAGATCCGACGAGGTGATGGAAATTTGTACAAGAACCAAATTTTCTACAACAAAATCGCCTTTAAAGAAGCTGTCCTGGACTACACTCTTGCAAGATTATTTCTACACAAGATCCGGGAGGAACCAGATTATTTCATGCCAATGAAGATTGAAGAGTTGATATTTAAGAAATGGAAGATTAGTGTATCAAGACCTCAATGCCAATCTGCTAGGCTTAAAGCTTTGAAATGGATAGATAAAGAATATGAAGAGCAGTTTGCACGGATTAGAGATTTTGCTTCTGAGATTGAAGAATCAAATTCGGGTTCTACTGTGGTTGTGGATACACTGACAAATGAGAAAGGTGAGGATGAATTCAATAGATTTTATGTGTGCTTTGACAGTCTTAGAAGAACCTGGAAGGAGACATGTAGGCCAATATTGGGAGTAGATGGTTGTTTCTTAAGAGGGAAAACAAAAGGTCAGTTGTTGGTAGCATTAGGGAGAGATGCAGACAATGTCATATATCCAGTGGCATGGGGGGTTGTTCAAGTGGAGAATGGCCCTAATTGGCTGTGGTTTGTGAACAAGGTTAAAGCTGATTTGGGACTAGGAGATGGTGAAGGATACATCATCGTCTCAGATCGTCAGAAGGTATGAGTTTTGATTTGTTTTTAACTTTGTTTTGCTTTAGTATCTGTTGTTGTTTACTCTCTTTAATATGTTGCTCTTTTTCAGGGTTTAATTAGAGCTGTGCAGATCGAGTTACCAAAGATTGAACATAGGATGTGTGTGAGACACATTTATGGGAATTTGAAGGCAAATCATGGTAAGAAGACACAGATGAAGCCGTTTATCTGGAATCTAGCATGGAGTTACAACGAGGCTGAGTTCAGAGAGAACCTAGAGAGTGAAAGACTATGATATGGGTGTTTTTGATGATGTGATGAGGTCAAATCCAAGGAGCTGGTGCAGAGCTTTCTACAAAGTGGGAAATTTTGTAGAAGATGTTGAGAATAACTCTACCGAATCATTTAACAACACCATAGTCAAAGCAAGAGAGCTGCCATTGGTCCCTATGTTAGAAATGATTGCTCGGCTTGCAATGGTACGCATTGCCAAAAGAAGTGTTAAGTCTCATGAGCATACTGGTTTGTGTACACCATATGTTGAAAAATATCTTGCAAATGAGCTTGAGCATGCTTCAGAGGTCACCATGCACAGAAGCACAAATAGAATGTATATAACTATGTTGGCTGGTTGTGCTCACCGTGTGGATTTGAATGCGCGGTCTTGTAGCTGTCGGAAATGGGATATCACAGGAATCCCGTGTGAGCATGCATATGGTGTTATCCTTAAGCTAAAATTGAAGCCTGAGGATTATGTTTGTCAATGGTTTCGCACAGCTCTTTGGCAGAGGAACTACACAGATGGTTTAGTACCATTGAGAGGTACAAAGTTTTGGCCTGTAGGATCAGCTCCTAAAGTCCATCAAGCTCCTGAACCTCCACAGCCAGGAGCTAAAAAGAAGAGTAAGAAAAACAAAAGAAAGAAAGGTAAGAATGAGTCTCCTCTGAAGAAACAACCAAAGGCTCTGAAACGAGTCATGCATTGTGGGATATGTGGTGCCCCTAATCACAACTCTAGGTTTCATAACAAGAAACAAAAGGTTTGTAGTTTCTGTTTCATACTCATAACGACTCTAATCCTGAATATATGTCTTGTGCTTTGCTGCCTTTTTAACTATACTTTCTATTAATACAGGTTCCTAAAGGTAAACAACCTCAAGATAATCAATCTCAATGTGAACCTTCGCAAGGAATTTTCACACAAGAGTAAGAGGGAGAACAGAGGTAGGAGTAGAAGAGGGTGAACGGAGCTAGTAGTAGAAGCTGCATTTGGACTAGTTTTTTTTGTATGGAGTAGAAGCTGTAGCAAGGATGGTGTAGAAGCTGTAGCAAGGATGGTGTAGAAGCTTGCCTCTTATGTTTATTTTTTCAAGCTTCTAAACATACACATCTCAAGATTATTATGTAATCGCTTTGAACCTATTTATGAATGCTTTTTAAACTTCTGATTCATTCATCTTTTAACATCTAACATTACAACCATTACAAAGCATTGAGGTCCAAAAACAAAGCATTACAATGCATAACATCTAACATTACAAACCAATCACAATCATTATCAAACATCATAACCAATCAATTTAGTCAAACCAAACACGATCATCAAACCTAGAAGAACAACAATCATCAGTTTCTTCAAGCTTGATTTGGCTTCAGCTTTGGCTTCAGCCAATACGTCTTCTACCCTCTCACATATTTCTTTCTCTAGATCCATCTGGTTCCTCGCAAAACACACCTTCTCATGCTCCACAACTTGTTCAATACTAGACATTTTTGAAGCCAAAGTCTCTATCTCATCATAAAGTGCCTCATCGACCCATTTGAAAACATGATCATCATCAATGAGCTGCATTATATTCAATCCAACAATGAGAAACAAATCTAAAATCATCATCATCAATAAGGTGCATTCCTTACCCTAAGTCTTGCTGCATAAGAACAACGATAGTAACGCCGGCCAGGATTGGGTTCTGACATAGAATTCTTCGCAACGATGTCAGACCCACACCAACACCTTTTCGGCGCACCCCTAACTATCCCTCTTTGTCGACGATTTGATGTTCCACTCGACTTTCCTGATGCATTGCTCATTGTTTAGCTTTGATTCGATTTTGAAAGTGAAGAAAAATAGAAGGAAAGGTTTTTAGGGTTCTTCGATTTTGGGGATTTTATGAACAAACGATGAACTGGGTTGCGGGTTGGTTTATTACTCAGACCCTGGTTTCTAATTCGGTTTTGCTAATGAGTATTTTGGTTTTGTTTCGGGTTTATGAAGTTAACCGAGGAAACCAACAATTATGGGGAAAAAAGTTTCGAACTTTATAACTGGGGGGAAATAATTGTAGAACTTATTTTTGAGGGAGACTCAGATAGAGGCTAAAAGTGTGGGTAGAACTGGTCGTATATGATAGTTTCTGGGGGGAAATAGATCGTCGTTCCAATAATTATTGACAAACTAATCCACACGTTTTAATCTTTAGAAGGATACACGAAGACTTCACACCTACCAAAAAAATAAATAAAAACTTGTTCGTCGTAAATCGTAATATAACACTAGTCACTATACTCAGACCAACAGTTTGGGGTACTAGTCAGGGCTGACGAGTACATGTGTATAGGCTTAAACCAACGAGTGAACTAGTGCTAAGTGGGTAACTCCCAACAATAGTAATTAGAAAAGGTGTGTGTCGGTTCTAATTCGTTGTGGAGATTGATACGTACGTATGCGGAAAAAGAAAAAGAAACGTGAAGGATCGAAAGACATAGGTATGAGGTTGAGTGAAGTGAAGAGGCCGGCCGTGTATTAATTAAAGATTTGTTTTCTCCAATCGTATTCGTACGTGGTCCGTTTCTCTCCTAATCGGATTTGGCTTTTAATTTGATGGCCACACCCACACATATTGGTTATCAAAACCTATAAGGGAAAGCTCCACCTATTTATTTCACGCTTACATTTACTATACACTACTAACTAATACAGCATGGCCGAATTATGACCATTCTCATATCGTATAATTTGATACCGTTTTTTGAACAAACAACACAAAATATTAGTATTTTTATACAACAGCTGAGTCCAATTTTCGAATCAAAGGCCCATAATTATTTCCTTAATCAACGGCCCAATAAGAGCCGAAAACCCCAATCAGTACAAGCCTTCATTGATGTTCTCCGGGTCGTCGTGTCTGTGAGTCGCGCGGCTTTCATTACCGAGAAAACACAATCATATAGAAGCTCTCAATCTTGTTTGCTTCTGTACAGTTTAACTATGATTACTGTAATGGATCACTCCTCTTTAGTTATCTTTCTCTTTCTATTGATCAAACCTATTGTTTCTCGAGAGCGCGTGGAAAATGTCGGAGAGGTTTCAGGACCCTGCGGCGGAGACAATTCCGGGTACACCAGTTATTCGGGAAGTGAGAACCGGATCCGGGTCAGAGAATTTCAACCCGGTGAGTACAAGGAGAGGAGACGTGAGAGCTCAAGTCGACATTTCCCCACCTTTAGTTGGTGGTCATGGGTCTTGGGTTCCATTTAACCTTGAAGACAATTTCGTGAGTTCTGTTTCTAATACTCGATTTGCAAAGTCTGCTCATTTCTTGTAGTTTGATGCATCTGTGAGTATCAGTTTTGGTGAAACTTTGAATTGTATGTTCTTTAACTGTCATGTATGATTAGTGATAGCTAATTCGATTTGGTGAGGTTTTGTGCTGAACTGCTGATGCTGTAGATATTTCAGAACTTTGAGTTGATCTATCATAATGAAGGAATTTTTTTTGCTATAAAAGTGGACAGTTCTAATCGTCTTGATACGTTTGCTCTGCCTCTGTGATTAGCCAGAATATGTTATCTTCATCCATGTTTGAAACTTTATGTTTATGTTTTTGTATTGTGGCATGTGTTGATTGATGTATACATTTATTTATATATGCGCCAATTTCTTCTGGAACAACCAAACTAACGTTTGATCATAAGATGGTGTAAGCATGAAATTTTTTTAAGATTCGTTTTGGTGTCAGAGACATAACATAAGATATTGATTGATTTTTTTTTATAATGTTTTGTTGGTTTGTCATTCTTCAGGAGAGAGTGAGAGAATTTGACATAAAGAGAATGAAAGAACAGACTGCGGAGATTGAGAAGGATCTGATTATGAAGGAGTTAGAAACTCTTGATTTTCTAGAAGCACTTGCATCAACCAAAAGCATCGTCGAAGATTTTAAGCGGCAGCTCCAGCAACAAGCAATGAGATGCATGGAGACCCCTCAACATTGTCGTTCACACATCAAAGAGATGATAGATGAACGCTGCCATCGTAATCCTCAGAAGTCTCCAGATCTGATCCACATGGAATTGAAGCAAGCCAGTCTGAATCTTGTTAAAACAATGGATAATCTTGCATTGATCCAGTCCTATGCTGAATCTCTGAATATGAAAACAAAGCAAGAGAAAGATTTCCTTGGAGCGGCGTCTCTAGCGGAGGAGCTTAACAGTCTGAAGTTAAAACCACAGGGTCCTGATCAAGGAGACAGGTTCAATACGGAGAAATTTCCCATGAACCCACAATGTGAACAGGTTAAGATGGTAGTTGAAACCAATGATACCGCTTACCATAAACAGAGCAAGGCTTGTCTAAGAACTGCAGAAATGAGACTGGTTGCTGCAAGAAAAATGGAAGAGGCTGCAAGAGCAGCGGAAGCACTTGCAATTGCTGAAATGGCCATGTTATCCAGTGGGAAAAACCAAGACGATCTCTGCTTCTCAAAGCAACCAAGTTCTCCGTTAACACTTAAAGCACAGATGAACAAAGAATTATCCACCAATGTCACAAGCATAGAGATCTTGAGAAAGCTGGAGGAAGCCAATGAAGAAGTTAAGCAAAGTAAACAAGCCTTGGAAACTGCATTAAACCGGGTAGAAATCGCCAGTGGGAAGCAACTTGAAGCAGAAGATGCGGTTCGCAAGTGGAACATAGAATCATGGAAAGACCAGAAAGCTATTGGAGCAAAACGCACGACGAAAAGAGATAGCTTCTCTCAAGGCTCTTTCTTGAGCCATGTGAGCCAGCACGAGCCACAAATCTATCTCCCAGAGCCAATGCTAAAACGAAACGTATCAACGGGCAATGTTCTAACCCGGAAACAAGTCCCTACTATCGATGAGAATCAGTTAGTGACGCCAAGGAGAAGGTTTAGGTTTATACACACACATCAAGCTTCCATTGGAGAAACAGAGTAAGCTAAAAAACCCAGCCTTTGATAACATGTTTTTCCCATTTCTGTTTGTGTTTTTTTTTTTCTTTCTTGGTTTGATCATTGATGCGTGTTGTTGCTTCTATCATAAACAAACCCAGATGATTAGAGTGGAACGTGTTGTTTTGATTGATTTGACTCAAATGTGACGAAAAGATTAAGCTTTCTAGTAATCATAATTAATTAGGGAGTTAGTGAAGGGCATTGATCATATGATTTAGGTGGCGGTCATAAGTCATAACTAATGCATTTAAAGTGTTAGATTATCTAATTAGGTGATTCATAATCATTACCTCAACTATGTTTTTTTTTTAAACTCTGGCCTTTAATCTTTATAATGTTTTATAGATTCTCAGAAAAACAAACTGAAACATTCAAGTTGAACGACAAAGATTCAGAAAAAAAAAAAAAAAAAAAAAATACTTTTTACTTTACACAAGTTTAGTATTGACGTCAGATTGAGAATGAAGACGTGGCCAAGACTTTTAAGGCAATCTTAATCCTTCCAATAGGTAAAAGCCACGTCTTATAGTCTTCACAACAAAGATTTCGTCTGGAATCCTCGTATTGGCTAAGATCAAATGAACCAAAAAAAGGAAAATAAAAAAGTGGAAATTTTAAGAGCAGCGTGGGTTAGCAAAATCATAGTCTCAGGCTAAAATGTGCCAGTCCCAACACGTGGGCTAGTCTGTTTCCGCGTGTCAAGTATCGGACGTTACGTTGGTACTTTTTTGAGAAAATTAGGTTTGCTTTGGTCTCGTTTCGTGTCAATAATCCAAAAAAAGACAACGTCTTTATCTTTTATTTATTAGTTTTGTTTCTCCCAAACATTAAAATGTTGTAGCTTTTTAATCATTTTTAAAAAATATAATAAACTATACCTTCTCCTTTGCTTATAAAACGGGAAGGATGTACGGTACACAAAGATCCAGATCAAAGCTCATGGAAACCAAAAATAACTAAGATCTCCTTTGTTCAATAGTCAATAAAATAGAAAGATCTGGTCGATGGTTCATGGTTCCATCGCAAGGTGGCCGGACTGGGGCGTCCGCCTTGACGGTTCGAGTCTCTCCGAGCATGGTACCGGTATGCATTAACCATCCTTAATCTCATTAATTGATATCTTCTAGGCTATGATATAAAAGTAAAAAAAAAATATAGATATGATTTTGATGTACTGAATAAATTATATTTAGATGTACTGAGTACTGACACTATGATTAATGTGGGCATTGCAGATTAGTTTCCGGGTAAACCATATGGAGTAGGGAAGATAACGAGATCGATCTCTAGACGTGGATGGGATGGATGTGCGGTTCAAAGATGGAATCTACATATATAGATTCACATGCGGGTTATAGTTAAATCGGAATAAAGTTTTTGATAAGTGGACTGTTCTTTACCTAAGTGGGGATGATAGTCCAGTCTTGTATCACATTTATATATTTGGGTTTAGCATATAGAATCATTATCAAATGTGTTAGAATATTTTCCACCTAAGTTTCGTTCATCCCAATTCCCACATTACCTCTAAAGGTGTCTCAAAAGGCAAGTCATTTTTTCTGGCTATTCAATTCAGCTTCGATTACTACTAATCAGATACCACTTTTCCACTATTGTGTTCCTCCTAATTTGTTAAGTGTTTGTAGTGGCAAAAAGGTTTACTATAATGGAATTCTTAGTTAAGTTTTTAGTATGTATGAATATGATATGTTTTTATATATTGTAAAGTAGGTTATACCAACTTCACTAGAAATCTGTCAAAAAGCTACATATTTATTAATGCCCAAGAAAAAACAACATCTAGCAGTTTCCATGATAAAAATTTGTGAGTTTGGAGAGCACTTGTTGGTACCATACAACAAGCAGACTATGGAGACTCGAAGTAGCTAGGATCGAGAGCAGCTAGCGAGATTGGTGAAAACCTTTCAAACGGAGTCAATAAAAGTGCAAGAGCTCGAGAAGAGATGATCCCGAGTCATGGGTTACAAGTTTGGTTTGACTTGAGGTTTTAAGAACAAAAGCTTAGTTTCTTTTAATTTTTATTCAAAGCAAGGATGCATATAATGTACCAAAAACTTTTTTATGTTAAATATTTAACATTCATTAGAAAAAAAATACCGCGTTTCCTGCTCTTGATCTAGGAGGAAAGACGGTAAGAGTAAAACCAAATTATTCATGCTAGATTGTAGATTCGAGAGCAGGCTAAAGAGTGTGCCATATGAAATCTCTATTGAACGATAAGTTGTATCACTTATCATTATTATTTTTTGATAAACTAAATATAGAGAATTTGGAAAAGAAAAATTATGCTCCTAAAATGGACTTTAAATACATATCCTAAAAACACATGATGTTTCTATTTTTTTACATAAAACATTTATTGTTTCTAATTTTTACGTAATTCAATATCTATTATGCGCGAAAATAATAAATTATATAGAAAAACGGAGAAATTTGTATTTGTGACATAAAGTTGTAAATTATACATCAAAAAGAAACTATGGTTTTTTTCTATCTATCCACTAATAGACTATAATACTTTTCATAAATATAATAACATTTTTCTTTTACAGAACACACCCCTATGGATATGACTCCACTCTTGGAAAAAATGTCCGGAAACAGTTCACGAGCCAGTGGCTTTGTCAAGGCACCTACGAGTTGGTTTTTAGATGAAACACAAGAAATCGAAGTATTTTTGAAGTTATTTGATTCCTAATGAAGTGATATTCGAAGGCAAGATGTTTTGTTCACAAGTTGAACACCGTATTAGCATTTAAATATGTAGTATATACATTATTACACTAAATTATTGGAGATATATAATTTCGGAAGAAGTATTTGCCTACGTACTAGTTACTACCATGTAGCTTCAAACCTATCTGCAAATGATGCTATTAGAAGAGAATATGAATTACAACAATTTATGTTCCTGTGAAGAATTATCGACTCCAATATCACTTTCCCAATGTACCTAAAACAAAAAAGAGTATGGAGGATTGTTTTGTAGACCATAATGATTCAAATATAAATATCAACAATGTATGCTATAACCACAATTTAGGGTTTTAACCTTACACAATCTTTTCAATTCGTAAAACTAATGCAATAACAAATGGTAATATATATTACATTTTCTTTCTGGTCTTACATACAATACATCACAAATAAATAAAAAAACTTATTTTTCTTTCAATATAATCTATCATTCCCGTGAGCAACATATATCAAGTTACGCAAGATTTAGAATATATTATGTTCTTAATTATGTAAATATCTTTAAGGGATATGATTTTAATATCCATTTGAAAGAATATTTTTTTTCCAAATTATATATATATATAGATATATATTTTCTTTTTTTGGTCAAGCTCCAAACTATATTTAAATTTTTTGTTTACTTCATTTCTCTATATTTAACATGAAAAGAAATAAAGGAATATATTATATATAATGATTATATATGGATTTGTTATATATCTATATATAATATATATGTATATATATATATATATATATATATATATCTTTTTCCTTTTTTGGTCAAGCTCCAAATTATCTATATTAACCTTTTTTACATCAATTCTCTATATTTAATGTTGATTATGGATTTATTATATATATATTTTCTTTTTTTGGTCAAGCTCCAAATTATCTAAATTTAACCCTTTCTTTTACATCAATTCTCTATATTTAAATGGAAAAGAAAATTAAGGAATATTTTATATTTTATTATATATGTTGAATTTGATTATGGGATTATTTCTATTTGAAAAGATATTTTCTTCTATTCATTAACTGTCACTTTTATATAATTTTTTCCTTTTCTTTAATAGTTTTTCTAATTCAATCAAATATACAATTTAATTTTTACTTTATAGATTCTGATGCATGCCAACTAGATTCTTGAGTCAAACTCAACTTAAATTACATACCAATCAATTCTTATATATACAGACAACGAAAGAAGTAATCTTCACAAGATTCTATCTCTCTCTCAACCAAAAGACAAAACAAAACATCAACCCTAAAGTTTGTCACTACCATGTCGTCCCGTACTTCGTGGATGTTGGAGGAGACCACCTTACCAAAACTTGGCTGTCTCGGCCAAGGCTAGCATGGCTACATCTCTCTCGTTCGAACCCCTGATGATGTACTCATGGCTAAGAAAACATCTCACCGCAAATACTCAGAGAATCTGGAGAAAGAGCGAAGGATCTTACTTCACTTCAACTCCATCAATTTCAACATCGTAAGACCCACAAGCCCTATCATCTATTACGAAACCTTGCCCGTCAATGCCAAGGTGTGCTCTATTTACATGGAAGTCGCACAACATGGTTCACTCAAAGACATGATAATCAAAGCCGGTAGGAGATTACCGGAGAACGTGGTCGGGTATTGCACACTCTTGATTCTTGAAGGGCTCAAGGATCTTCACCGAGCCGGTTACGTTCACTGTGATCTCAGGCCAGAGAACATACTCATCTTCCGTACCTTCACTCATGGAGAGCTTTGTCAACTCAAACTTGCTGATTTCGGTTTAGCCAAGGAGCCTAATGGGCCTAGACCATTGGATGGGTCTCTGTTCGCGGGAAATCAGGCGTATTTGGCTCCAGAAGGGGTCGGGCCACGTAGAGTGATCTCGTCCGCGCTTGATATATGGTCTCTAGGTGTAATGGTGATTGAGATGTTGGGGGCTATTGTAGGAGGAAGAAGTGATTACTTGTCGGAGACTCTATCACCGATGGCTTGGGACTTTGTGAAGAAGTGCAGAGTGCATGATCCGGAGGCTAGAGCCACTGCGGAGGAGCTGCTGAGCCATCCCTTTGTTATGCAAAGTCTTGGAGTTCCACCGTTTGAGCTGCTTCCGGTTCCTCCTTGCTTAAGTGACGGAGAGATTCAAGGAAGGTTTTACTAGAGAGAAAGCGGAAGATCCACATGTGAGACTGATGGTGGAGAATTATCCTGTTGCTGTTATTGTTTTCTTGATGCAAAAACTTATTATGATTTACTAGCTGGTACATTTGCTCTCACTTGATTGATCCTAATAAAGTCTAAACATCATATATTTGCTTAATTCATATTTATAAATCTGAAAAACAAATAGAACCTTGAAAAACCAAACCGCATTGAATTATTATATGAGGAAGTTTTGATTGATTTTGTTTCGCTATAGATATATATATTTGGTCTAGTTAATCCAGTCAGAAGTCAAGAATATTAGCTAGATATTTTCTGATCCAATCTACAAGAGAAGATAGTTAGATCCTCATCATAAGCATGGTGGTGGTAGATTTATGGCATGGTGCTTGTCATTGAAGAGCTCCCACCTGGTTGTGACTACGTTACTCATGTCATAGAAGAAGAAAGTTTGGGATATTTCTTTATTTTTAAAAAATTAAGGAAGTAGGTTTGTTGATGTTTCAAAGTGATGGAGAACTAGGGATGAACTTAATAGGCGTTGTGTTTCCACGAAGAGTGATGGAGAACTAGTGATGAACTATGTTCTGAATATTAATGAGCTTCACCCTCACCCAATGGTGTCATGGCTTCTTTGGAGATTTTGGAAGAATAGGAATGATCTTGTTTCTATAGGAAAAGAATTCTCAGCCCAGGAAGCAGTCCAGAAAGCATAGGGAGATGGAGAGGAGTGGAATAGCAGAACAGAACAACAACCCCAAGTTGAGCTCCAACAGGCCTCAAAGGTAATCAAATTACTAAATGGAAATCTGCCCCACAAGGCTGGTTCAAATGTAGCACGGATGGTGCGTGTGGTTTGCTGGGGCTATAAACTATTGTGTTGGTGGGATACTTAGAAATGAGCATGGGAAGGTGTTGTGGCTGGGAATGTGCCTTACCCGAGGGCAAAGCCAGTGCTGGAAGCAGAGTTAGAAGCTCTTACATGGGCAATCCTTTCAATATATTCAACTGCAGGAAGGAGCATGGCGTTCTCAACAGCTCGTATCTCTGTCTCTAATAAAGGATGGTATGGACATTCCATATCTTATAAAGATTTCAAAACAACGAAAAAAAAAAATATCAAAATGAAACTAGAAAGGTTCCACAACAATCATGATCTTCCATACTTAATATACCATCAACTATATCCTTTTATTAGTAGTGATCTAACACAAATCTCCCACACGCCTATGATGAGCCTAGTGTACCATATATAAACATTCATCAGTAAAAATCCCCTCGCAAAATAATCTCCATTCTCTGAGACAAACCCAGCAAACATAGCTTACTAATGAGCCTACTTGACCATATCTTAAATAATGTATAGTACCCTCCTCTGTCTCTCTTTGTTTAACAAAATAACAATAAACATTATGTTTGTTTTTTTGGGTATGTAAATTAACTTCGATTGCTATTATAACATACACACAAAATTGCAAGAATGAATTTAGTCACAAACATATTCATATGATTTGGGGAACTGATCATCATCTAGAGAAGAGCCTTGTGAAGAAATTTCCAGAAGAACTGGGAGGATTTTGAAGACAAGAGACATGAACATATCTCCCTAACTTGTCAACTTGTCTTGCCTCACCCTTTGTGTCCTTTTTGCAAATCTTGCATGTTTTGTCCACCCATCCTTCCTCCACATATTGCCCATCCACTATAACAATTTATTTTAATCCAAACAAATTATAAGTTCATCATGTTTTCTCATCCAAATTACATTAATTCTCTAGATTTCTTTTTACCTTCAACGTAGGATTTAAAAAAGTCCTTGTATGTGCCTCCGATTTTTCTCCTCAATGCCCCATACTGCATATCATTAATTATCAAACATAACATTAATTTTGATAATCCAAATATTTTTCATCAATAATCATATATGTCTAGTGTGTGGATAGAATTACAAACCTGTTCTTGGGTCATCTTGCCACCAGATTTGGTGGCTTCACGAGCCTCGTAGAGAAGCTCAGCGTCTTTCTCCGACCGAACCTGTGAGAAGTCCAAAGCATCTGTTAATTTAGTAAACAACGAAGTCTCATCTTCATTCTTCGACTTCTTCTCATCATCTTTATCCTGCTTCGCCGACACAACGACCCATCTAGGGCTCCGGCTAAATCTCGGCGATATTCTTGAGGCCGGGACTCTGGTGGTGGAGACGAAGCCGCTGTTGTGGTGAAGAGGCAGAGCTCTAAAACCCATATTTTATTCTTTAATTTCGCTTAAATTTACAAGTTTAAAGGAGATTGCAATCTGGGGGTTACATTTATATAAAGATAGTAAAACGTACATGAGGTTGTGTCATGTGTGGTGAGGGGTTGACATGTAACGGGGGCCATAAAAATGAAGAATATGGCTGTGATGTGGTTTACGTGGGAGTTTAGTGATCATCTGATGATTTTTGAGACGTCCAATTTTGTTTAATTAAAATTAAAATTACATGTGTGTATTAATTTTGTTAAAATACGAGTTTGGCTTTGTACGGGATCTCTTTTAGAGATCAGCTAGAATAAAATTATTTGTAGCCATTTTAAAAAATTGTAGCTTTTTTTTTGGGTCAAAAATCATAATTAATTTTCCTAAATAGAAAAAGGAAATTTGAATAAAAATCTAGGGCTAATTAAGCAATTTTCCTTTTTTTTAAGAGAGTCAACTTTAGAAAATTAGGAAAACGCCTGTATAAGAATCGGAGCTGGTGAAGAGATGAAAGTGTAAACTGGTGTTTTACAAGAATCTGATAATTTCAAAAGAGTGTGTCAGAGATGGAGATGGAGAAGCCGGAGTTGACATTGTACAACACGATGACTCAAGTGAAGGAAGTTTTTAAGCCGATCAATCCCGGCAAGATCGGAATGTATGTCTGCGGTATCACCTCCTACGATTTTAGCCATATTGGTCACGCTCGTGCCGCCGTCTCCTTTGACCTCCTTTACAGGTTTCATTCCTTCTCTTACAGTCTCGCTATACATGTCGATTTCGCGTTCGGATTTGGGAAAATAAAAATCGACACTTTGAAACTGTTCTGTCTATTGTTAAGTTTCGTCTCTGATTTTATAAACAATGTACCAAGCTCAGAGAAATTTGGATTCTTTTGTTTTTTTTGAAGTTGGTATTTATCATTCTAGTGTTGTTTTTGTTGGTTATGCAGATACTTAAGGCACTTGGGTTATGAGGTTACTTATGTTCGGAATTTTACAGATGTTGATGACAAGGTATGGCATATTTTTTTCTTCTGCGTTTTGAAACTAGGGTAGAGGTGCACAACATTCTAAAAATTTGTAAAAAAAAACTGAACCTGTGAAGGTGATTGGAAGAGCTAACAAGTGTGGGGAGAACCCTTTAGCTTTGAGTAGTCGCTTTTGCGAGGAGTATCTTGTAGATATGGCTGCTCTTCAGTGCCTCCTTCCCACCCACCAGCCTCGTGTCAGTGACCATATGGAGCTCATAATTAAGATGATTGAAAAGGTCTGATGTCTTCTTTCTTCATTATTTGGTTTCCCTGCAATGTTATTTGCTAAAACATGATGGTATAATGACCATGCTTTAATTCTCAATAAGGTTTTTGATCCATATGCTTCTTTGCTACAGATCATTGAGAACGGGTGTGGCTATGAAGTGGGTGGTGATGTGTTCTTCTCAGTGGATAAATCACCCAATTATGGTCAACTATCTGGGCAACGGCTGGATCATACTCAAGCTGGTAAGCGTGTTGCTGTTGATTCCAGAAAGCGCAATCCTGCTGACTTTGCATTATGGAAGGTTTGACAAGTTTTTTTTATAAATCTTTTTGAGTTCTCACCTGAGTCATCATATTAGAGCAGTTGAAGTTTATGCTGAAATTTATGCAGGCTGCAAAACCTGGTGAACCAAGTTGGGAGAGCCCTTGGGGTCCAGGAAGACCAGGATGGCACATCGAGTGCAGTGCCATGAGTGCTCATTACCTGTCTCCGAGATTTGACATTCATGGTGGTGGCGCAGATCTGAAGTTCCCGCACCATGAAAATGAGATCGCTCAGACATGTGCTGCTTGTGAAGATAGTGGCGTGAATTACTGGTTGCATAATGGGCATGTCACCAACAACAATGTAAAGATGGGAAAATCACTTGACAACTTTTTTACAATTAGGGAGGTATGTTTGCTGATTTGTTCCAATATCATTTTGAGTGTTTTTTCTCTTGGCTAATGCAAAATTGTGGAATCTGTGTAGATCACGGCTAAGTATCATCCACTGGCTCTGAGACACTTCTTGATAAGTGCACAGTACCGTTCTCCTCTGAACTACTCGGTGTCGCAGCTAGAGAGTTCATCGGATGCTTTATATTGTGTTTATCAGGTGCAGTGCCCCACAATTTGATTAGTGTCTCTTAAGGTTTAAACGGTTTGAATATTTCTTAACTCTAACCCTGTAATCTTTTTTTTATTCAGACGTTAGAAGACCTTATTAAAGCTTTATCGCCATATCGAGAAGAGATGAGTAAAGATGTTGGAAAGACCGAACAGACTGCAGAAGCCAAAGACCTGATAAAGAAGGTGAAAAGTGAGTTTGAAACAAAAATGTCAAACGACTTGAACACTGCACATATACTCACGGGTGCTTTTCAAGACGCAATGAAGTTCATCAACGTTTCAACCACCAAGCTCAAGAAAATGCAGAGGAAACAGCGGATGTCACTGGTCGCGTCACTGGTAGAGGTTGAGAAATCAGTGAGGGAAGTTCTAGATGTGCTTGGTTTGCTCACGACTCTAAGCTACGCTGAGTTTTTAAAAGAGATGAAAGAAAAGGCATTAACAAGAGCAGGAATAGGAGAAGCAGAGGTCTTGCGGAGGATTGAAGAAAGGAAATTGGCGCGGAAGAATAAAGAATTTAAGAGGAGTGATCAGATTAGAGAGTTGTTAGCAGTTAAGGGTATAGCACTGGAGGATATACCGGGAGACACGGTGTGGCGACCGTGCACCCCTCTGACGTTGAGCTCTAAGCCTAAATCCGGTTTAGGCAAGACCGCCTTTGTTTTTGCCATCGGTTTTGCTCTCTTAGGCCTCTTCTTCTATAGCCGTTGAAACTATTTATTTGTTTAGACTGTGTTGGACGTATATGTCATGATGAATTTACTTAAGATTGATAGCATTGGTTATTTTATTATTTGATAAACTTGTAACATACACACACAAATCATGTTCTGAATTCGTGTGCTAATCTTACTAACTTTAACCATTCTTGGCAACCATCACAATATGTAGTAACAGAAAAAATCGGATCACCAAAATCGCAATCGTTTTTATATGTAAACACATTTGGTTTAAAACGTTTCTTTAATTAAATATACTCCAAAGAAATGCTTTAAAACTCAAGAACAATTCGTGTATGTCAAACACTCAAACTAAATAGATTGGGACAGATTAAACTACATTTTATTTTTTGTTAATTTAATTATATTGAGCTAAAATTGTAGCTAATGAAAACGATGTATGATGTATGATTCATAAGCATATTCTGGAACTAGTTATTATTTTAAAAAACTCTCTAAGAGTTGGAGATATCTATACGACTCCATTTATCTAATAGAGTATACTATAAGTCGTTTTCGTGTCTTGACTCTTGATGGTTTGGTTTGTTCAACGAGGACACGCAGGTAGAGTAAGAAATACCCGGAGGAGTGAGAAGACGTTAATGGCGATTGTCAATAAGATGAAAGATTCAGTCTTGTTCCTCGTTTGGCTCTTCTCCTTATCGGTTTTGGTCTCCCAATCGATCGCAGGGAGAGTCAAAGCTCCATTGTTACAGAGCAATCCTGGTGGATTAGTTTTCAGCAAATCATTCAATTCGATCTATGATACTTCTATGTACGGACGCTTGCAGCTCAACAATGGCCTCGCTCGAACTCCACAAATGGGGTAGGTTCAAGGAATTAGCTTTTTGGATTGTTTCTGATTCTGCTACTTAGTTTCTGGGTTTCTGCTTAAATGTAAAGGAACCATTTTTATGTCTCGATTTGTTGTAAAGTTTGAAAATTTCGAATCCTGTCTTATTGGAGTTGTGCTTTGTTAATTGACAGATGGAATAGCTGGAATTTCTTTGCTTGCAATATCAATGAAACAGTTATTAAGGAAACTGGTAAAGCTTTCTTTTGTTTGATAGCTTCTACTCAAAAGCTACTCACATGTTTCATCTTTCTTTTTCTTTTTGTTTCTATGTTCATTTGTGTTACTCATATTTTACTTATTATAATTAACAGCTGATGCTTTGGTCTCCTCTGGCTTGGCTGATTTAGGATATATACATGTCAATATTGGTATTTGTCCCTTGGACCTGTCTCTTCATATTTTCTTTATCTGAGAGTAAACCTTTCTGCTTTAACGTTTCACAAGTTTTTGTTTGTTGCAGATGATTGTTGGTCCAATTTGTTACGCGATTCAAAGGTAAGATTGCTTGTATTACTTTAGCAGAACTTGCTGGTCTCGCTTTTATGGTAATTTTCTTCTGTTTATGCTCTAAAATACTATCTGTAGTGAGCCCATGTCCTGAACTGAATTTGGCTTCTAAGTTTTAATCTCGATTTTCTTGTTGAAGTTCTTTTTATCTGTGGCTTTATAAATCACATTAAATAGACGCTGGTTGCTTACGTTTTTGTTTTGTAATTCAGGGCCAATTGGTTCCTCATCCGGAAACCTTCCCATCAGGAATTAAGCTTCTTGCTGATTATGTTCATTCAAAAGGTCTCAAACTCGGTATATATTCTGATGCTGGGTAGGTTATTATTCATGTCCTACTTTTGGTGTGTTATTAGATCGATGAAATTATATGAATATGGTCTCATGTTTCGATTTTGATATTTCCCTCGTTCAGCATTTTCACGTGTCAAGTTCGTCCTGGATCTCTTTACCATGAAGTGGATGATGCAGACATTTTTGCTTCTTGGGTTAGTTTGCGGCCAATGTCGTTCAAACTTTGAGTTGTCAATGAACTATTTAAGTTACTCATATTGAGATATAGTATCCTTTAAGTACAAACAAGATCACAGTGTTTTTGGTAAGTGGTAGTATCTTTGTTTTGGTTTCTCATTGGTAAATTTGATTTTCAGGGTGTAGATTATCTGAAATATGACAATTGTTTCAACCTGGGAATAAAACCAATCAAAAGGTTTGATCTTTTATGACTTGATATGGTACCATTTATCCATAAAATCTGTTTGGTATAAGTTTTTGAATAACTTGATGGTTTATGGTTTCCAGATACCCTCCCATGCGTGATGCTCTAAACGCGACTGGTCGCTCAATTTTCTATTCGCTCTGTGAATGGTACCATACTCAAAATGTCTTCACACAGGATGAGTAAATTGAATACAGTTTATTTTACCTCTTTTTTTGACGTATGCAGGGGTGTTGATGATCCTGCCTTGTGGGCAAAAGAAGTTGGAAACAGTTGGCGCACAACTGATGACATCAATGATACATGGGCAAGGTGAAAATCTCTTGACCATAGATATAAATCACGTGCTTCATTTTCTTTAATGAAGATCTTGTGATTTTGAAGATCTTGTGATTTGAGTAGTATGATCATTGAGTAACTCAATTTGAGTTGCTTTGAGAGTGATTCGTTTGTTTGAATCTTGATCTGATTGCTTTACTCTTTTTCTTTTTTTTAATGTTATGAAAGTATGACTACAATTGCTGATTTGAATAACAAGTGGGCTGCTTATGCTGGACCTGGTGGTTGGAATGGTAAACAGTCACTTAAGATCTAAAAACATGTTCTGCATTGGAGTAAGAACTAGTACACTAATTGTTTCCATTACATTAGATCCGGATATGTTGGAAGTTGGGAATGGAGGGATGACGTACGAGGAGTACCGAGGTCATTTTAGCATTTGGGCTTTGATGAAGGTGTGTAACTAATTTCATGGCTTCATGATTTTCTTTGATGTCCTAGATTTCATCTGATCCTTGTGGCTCTCTTGCAGGCACCACTTTTGATTGGTTGTGATGTAAGAAACATGACCGCAGAAACTTTTGAGATTTTGAGCAATAAGGAAGTTATCGCTATAAACCAAGGTGAACTCTAATATTTTTTTGACTTGTTAGTTTCACTGTATACATTATTCTCTATATATTCATTGCCAAAGACTGAGAATCTGAGAACGATCTGGTTGCAGACCCACTTGGTGTTCAAGGTAGGAAAATTCAAGCCAATGGAGATGATAACTGTCAGCAGGTTTGAATTGGGCGCCACAGAATTATCAGACTCATAGAAAAGCAGAAAACCAAACTTGATGACTCAAATTAGTCATAAATGTTTCATTGCAGGTGTGGTCAGGACCTTTAACTGGTGACCGTATGGTAATCGCTCTCTGGAACCGTTGCTCTGAGCCTGCAACCATTACAGCATCATGGGATCTAATCGGTCTTGAATCTACTATTAGCGTCTCAGTAAGAGACTTGTGGCAACACAAAGATGTAACAGATAATGCTTCTGTTTCATTTGAAGCTCAAGTAGACGCACACGACTGTCATATGTACGTTCTCACTCCCCAGACAGAATCACACTCTGATGTATAGTTCTTTGTTGTGAGGCATTCAAATAATTCTCAAAGATTGCCTTGTGTTTCTGTATACTTGTTGTGTATCATGTAATACCTGAAAAGTATTGTTACTCAGACAACATTCATAGTTTCTGGTTGTACAAAACCTAGAACAGGTGTGTTTATGTAGTGAATGCTTGTTACTCTGCGCAAATTGGCACAAGAAGAGATATTCAAGAAATCTCGTGTGAGTTTGGATAAAAAAAACTGAAAGAAATTGATGCCAAGCAAAAGACAAATAAATAGCTAATCTATACCAATGTTGTAAATTCTGTCCTAACAATGAAAAAGAGATCTCTAATGAAACACTGGTCAACAACATAATCAAGTTCCTGTTGTATCTTTTGGATCCTAAACAGAATTTGTCTAAGTGGTTAAGAGAGCCTAGTAATCCTGATGGTAATAATAAGATATCAACCAAAGATTCGGTCACAATCTCTACAAGTCAAGAACCGTTTATGATCTGCTGTACTCTTCTTTCCCATTTTCCAGTACCAATGTGCTTGAAGATATGGCATCTACTAGGTTCTCTGGTGGTGGAGATTGGCAATTTTCATCTATCTCCAGATTCACGCATCTTGGAGATTTCAGCACAGGCTGATCTGGGTCAGTGCAATCCCCTGGTCTCACACATTCTTCTCCCTTGTTACCAGTACAGTAAGTAGACACTTCACCAGAAAAATTGCAGCAACTACTGGCTCCCTCATCATTAATTGCCTCAGCGGAAGTTGCTAAACGATTAGTCAATGTGTTACCCGTACCCGGGTCTCTGGACCTGTCGGAGTATAACTGTTGACTCTGCAACAACCAGTGAGAAAGCAATTCAGAACCTTGAAGCAACAATTTAAAATTTTAAGCCAAAAACTCGGTAAGTGGGTTAATCGCATACCATGTCAGGAATAAAAGTGCCAGTTCCTCTCCTCTTTCTCATGTTTTGAAAGCCATTATTTAAAGAGTGCAGAGGAAAAGGCTGCACTGAGGTTGATACATTGAGACCTCTCAAAGAAAACTCGTTCTTTCGACAACTCACAAGGTGACGAACGATATCCCAACCATTCTGGTCCTTAACTTGAGAAGTCACAGGGATATAGCTCTGCTGAAAAGTTCCAGGTATGCTATAGCCATGATACATTTGCCCATACACAAGTCTTCCAAAGTAACCTTCGAAATCTCCACTAAGTTCAGATAATTCTGATCTTCCAGTACCAAATGCAGTAACGGGATCAATTACATCTTGCCTTTGACCCTTACCATTCCTCTCCAAAGAGTTACGAAAGAATCTCTCCAGTCTCCATCCCATGATTTCACCAGGTAGTGCAAGAACATCTCTGAGCTTTCGAGCACCATGGGTAAAAGCATGTCTTAATCGTTGGACATTTCCTAACAAAATGTTTTAAGAAAATGAAAATTTTGACAACTGCTATATTGAAGAAAATGAACATTGAGACAACTGCTATATTGGTGTTAACTTTTATCAATAAAGTACCTTGTGTAACACTTTTTCCAAGGTTGTTGCTGTGTTTTAGAGGATCAATTATATTGAGAGGTTTGACAGGAAATTCAAGACCATTCCCTTCAACAGCTTTAGTTGGAGCAGAGTATAACTCTACACAGTTTCTTAAGAACTTCTCGTCAAGCAATAAGTCATGCTCATTTTCTGGAGAAACTGCTGGGAAGGAAGAGAGAACACTCAAAATGTCAAATAAAGGCGAGAGAATGCCACAAAGAGAAGTGCCTGTGATTTTAGGCACCATCCTTACCCATAAGTTCAGGAAGGGAGGATATTGGCACAGGGCCACTGACACTGATACAGAAGTTGCTCCAATCAAATGAACCATAATAGTCCAAGAACTTATACAGAACCTAATAAAAGATAATGACTGTAATCTCATCTTTTGCATATATCATATACTGTAGATGATGCTAAAGCTTCAGAAAAAAAAGAGAGGTTACCGCTAAAGGGCCAGATAATGATGAATGGAATAGGTTGATGATGTGCAAGACCAGTACTGCTAATGCATATGTTGAGATCAATCCAGTGTTTGCACCAAGAATTCGACTCTCGTAGTAGCACCAAGCTTTAACTAAGATGATGCTACGCTTGAAAAGATGATCTCTCCCAAAGAGTTGGTCAACCTGAGGATACATAAAACCAGAGATTAACCAATAATTAAGTATCAAACATGAGCAGTGGTCTATCTAGTTGACTTCTAGAGCCTGATTTTGAATAGCTTATGGTACCTGTTCCAGAAAACATAAAGCACAGAGACCTGCCGTTTGATTAAAAGAGATATCCACAGCAATGCTCCTGATATTGCACTTTATGACCTTGACCTATATCATAAATCAACAAACTTTTTTGAAGGAAAATTTGGGCAACCAAGAAAATACAAAACCGAAAGGCTAAACAAACAAACCTGCGCAGGGATAAATTGAACATCTGTTGCATGGAATTCAGATTTACTGTCTTCATTTTGAAGCTTATTGCACAATTGTCCATAAAAATCGTCATCCATATTTTGGTTAGTTAGGACCGTCAAATCAATATCTCCATCTGGGAGATATGTTTTAAGTGGCACTGAGCCAAATGAAAAGACCTGTAACAAGTACCCCTCGAAAGTTAACAGACAAACAGGTTTAACATATCAGCAAACGAAGCAGAATTTCTAACCTCAATTCCATCATGACTCTTGATTAGAGTTCGTACATAATCAATGATCTCATTCCTACTTCTGTCTGAAATAACGACAGGTTGGATAGTGCAAAGTATCTCATGAGCTCTCTCCTCTGCAATCCTCCAAGAATCCCCATCTATTGGCAATGAAACCCCTTTAGGTTGTGCTGTTGATAGTGACAATGAGGATGACGAGGAAGACGAAGACGATGAAACTGACAATCTTTCTTGAATGTCACCCATGTGAGCATAACTTCAAGCAAACTTCAGGTTGATAACACAGGAATCCTCAACCCCAACGAACAACTTGCGTGAGTGACATCTACAAACCACAGAACGTATAGATATTACAAAATATTTTGGAACTGATTTATAAGATAATGAAGAGGATAACTAAAGCGCAATGTTGAAGCAAAACAATTGAAGTGAAAGATAAAAAGCTTGGTTGTCTAATTGTTTGAGCAACAAACAGGGGCAGACAATTTAAAGTGATCAGGACCTATATATATCCTAAGCAAGAGACCAAAGAAAAAGAAATCGAAACAGAGCATGTCAAATAGTGAATACAGTATAAGGTACGTACCCTAATGTTTTATCCCTCCCAAAAAGCCAAATCGGATATACAGTATCTATTACGACAAACAAAAACAAAAATAGCTATTGCGTGATGATTATAGCTAGGGAGGGAAAAATCAGAACTTTTTTCCGACCATCTAAGAGACAGGTTTGATAAAACCGAGGTTTAAGTATCGTACCTGCGAGGTGTTAGTCCTGAGATTCCGTGGCTAATCTGTGAATATTCAAGAGGCTTTTAATTCCTGCCACACACACAAAAACAATTAAGAACAATGAAATACAAAAAAAAAAAAAAAAAAAAAAAATCAAAACTTGGAACAGGGTTTACGGCATTTTGAAATCTCTCTTAGACTCTTCGTTTTGGTTTCATCATTTTAAGCTAAACAAGGACCACCAAAGTTGGCTACAGACAAAAGAGAAACCCCCAAAAAGAAAAAACGAGATTCACGCCGAAAAACACTTTTTATTTTTTGGTTCGTTCTCAATCAAACAAGCCCGATTCATTACACACACACACACAAAAATCCCTAAAATTATTGTTATCTCATCATACTTGTCAAAAAATTAAGACTTGCAGGCAAATTATGTTTCTCTATTCATTAGAATTGCTAGAGATTAGAACAATAAAATGAATCATTCACCTCAAAACAGAAAATCTCCAGCGTTTGGTTTTTATTTTAGATCTTATGAATGAATATGATAAACGTTACACCAGAAACAATTCCAAACCAAAAAAAAAAAAAAAAATTCCCCTAAAGTAACACAAAAGAACAAAACAGATATGAGCTTTAGTAAATGAAACGGAAGAGACTGGTTTTTTTTTTGGATACCTATTTGTATTCATTGATCAATCGAAGAGAAACCGAAGCAATAATTTTCTTTTCTTTTCTATTCAAACAAGAGGGGGAGAAGAATTATCACCAAGTAATTGGATAATATTTATAAAAATTACAAAAAAGAAAATATGGAAGGTTTATAATAGTGAAGACCTAAAACAATCTGCCATTTTTGTATCATGAGAAAATTAAACAACTTTAATTAACTTCACCTGCTCCGTCAAATTAAATAATTTTCAGCCAAAATTAAATAATTTGAATCTTCTTTCATATTCTTCCTCTTCTTCTTCATCGACGTCTCGCAGTCTTTAATCCTAGTCAACAAAAACCTTAAATTTCTCCAAAATCCATAAACCCAGAATCAGAAACTCCAATTCCATTAAAGGGAAAAAAGCGTATCGTATCCTTTTGTGGTATCGACTGTAGACGATCACACACACAAGTATAATCATACGGTTGATGACGTGGCGTACTTATTCGAGGTTTCATCTTATCCCTACACGTGGCTTTATATCGGACCGCTTAGTTAATTTAGATAAAAGGATTAAGCAAGCAAACCGTCAGATTTTTTCCCGCTATGTTGCTAACTCTCTCTCCTAAAACCCTATCTTCTTCTTCTTCTTCTTCTTTCACTGTGCACAAATCTCAAAACCCTAGATGTAAATCCTCAAATTCAGCTCGATTCAAGAGTTCAAAATGGAGATATCATCCCATTTTAGTGAAATCCGAAGTTCAGATTGAGAGGGATCTCGAATTCGAACCGGGAGATACTTTTTTCCGCCATGAAAGCGCTACAGGACGTGACCTGGGTGTGTTGTCAGCGACGCTGTACAAGAGATCCAATGGAAGCTTACGGGTACTCGACGCGATGTGCGGATGTGGAATTAGGTCGCTTCGTTATCTTGTGGAGGCTGATGCTGATTTCGTGATGGCCAACGACGCCAACGATGCCAATCGGAAGGTGATTACGGACAATTTGAGTAGAGTGGAGAGAGGTAATGGAGATGAGAGGAGATGGGTTGTGACGCATTTGTTGGCTAATAAAGTGATGATTGAGCGGTATATGGTTGCTGATTTCTTCGATATGATTGACATTGATTCGTTTGGGAGTGATTCATCTTTTCTGAGAGATGCGTTTAATACATTGAGATTGGGTGGTTTGCTTTACTTGACGTCAACAGATGGGTACTCTTCTGGTGGTCACCGACCTTATAAGTGAGTGAAAGCTTTACTCTTTTGGTTTTGTTAAACATCTGAGATATGTGATAATCATATGCTTTATGGAACAATTTTGGGAACATGCTATGATTTAGGGACTAAGGAATGAGGTTGAAAGTTTAGACATTTCTTTGTTTGTTTTGATGTAGTTCTTTAGCAGCTTATGGAGCATTTATTCGGCCAATGCCTTTTGGGAATGAGATTGGTCTGCGGATGCTTATAGGTGGAGCAGTGAGAGAGGCTGCTCTACTTGGTTATCATGTTACGCCCCTTTTCTCATACTATTCTTATCACGGACCTGTATTTCGAGTCATGCTGAGGGTTCACCGTGGGAAATTACATGAGGACAGGTTGTTTCTTCATTCTGAATCTGACTAATATGACTCAAATAATATTGGTGATGTTGCTTCTGTAATTGGAGTTATCTTTTCTCTTAACTGCAGGAACTATGGTTTTGTCACGCACTGTAATCTATGTGGCCATTCTCATACATTGAGATGGGATGAACTTGGTTTGATGGGATGTCCTTGCAGTGATACAAAGGCTTCTTCTTCACTGGTTGTCTCAGGACCAATGTGGCTTGGACCGCTTCATGATGGGTCGTATGTTACGGAAATGCTGGAATTGGCGAAGGAATGGGGGTGGGTCGGTGAAGGAACTGGCATGGATCTAGAGAAGCTTCTCAGCATAATGATTGAAGAGAGCGATCCAAGACTACCACCTGGATACACCAAAATGGATGAGGTCCTCTAAAACCGTATGATTTTATTACATTGATAAGAAAGACACATTTCATCCACATTACATGATTTAAAGATTTCTTTATGTTTGTAACTTAGATGGCCAGCCGTGCAAAGATGAACTCCCCTCCATTGAAGAAGATGATGAGTGCACTAGTTAAGGTAATAAACTAGTAATTGAATTCTCACACCTTTGATCTTTGATGAAACTGATGTGAAAGTACAAAGCTTAAAGGCTCTGCTTTGGGATTTTTTGCAGGAAGGATATGCTGTTAGCAGATCTCACATTATCCCAAATGCTCTCAAAACCGATTGTCCCATGTCAAATTTTGTAAGGATTGCCCAAGATAATTTGAAGAGATGACTTTTTGATGGAGTTTCTTTTGTAAAACAGAATTTTTGTTACATTTATAATCAAGTTGATAGATAATTTAAGTAAACCTCTCTTTCTTCTTACTGTTACTACTTTACAAAATAAATCACACAAAACCATCTGAAAATACATACAGTAAGTCATAGGAGGTACCAAATCGTTTTAAAAAGAGTGAATCTTTCGCCATTCGTAATTAACTTCGAACGAAAGGTATTGAGTTGCACAAACTAAAAAGAAGAGAGGGCAAAATCAAATCAACTAAAAAATTTGGGTTTGAAACATTTAAAGCTCCATATAGCAAAATCATCAAAATGTAGAACACATCTTCAAAAATTTCAGACAAAAGGAAGACTGAAACTAGAAAAGAAAAAGTTTTGGATAAACAGCTTCTTTACGTCTTCAAGCACGAGGAGCAGCAGGTGCACCACCGGCAGGGCGAGGAGCCTGACCAGGTTGTCCAGGCTTGGGTGTATCCTCCTGAAACAATTTATGATTTGTTAAGATCATTCAGTCAGAAACTTGCCCCAAAATCAATAACTCAACAGGATATGAATAAGAAATTACTACAATGTCAAGCTTTTGCAGCAGGTCAAGACTAGAGACTGAAACAACTATTCATAATTAGATACAGTATAGACTGGAGAAACCCATTCTAGCATAGTTTTTAAGGTGTAACAAAACCAGCGAAATTTATTTACAGCACTAAATGCAAATACAGAGTTCTACTTCGAAGCAATTGAAGTTCCAAATTACTAATCAAAAATGATTGCCGAAGTACAATAACAAGAACACTGATTGCCTTAAAGGACATAATCAAAAGGAAAAACATAATGTCAAAATTGAAGTGAGAGTATTGAGGAGCTAACCTTGCGTCTGGCAAACCGAGGTGGTGGGGTACGAATCCTACGGTTGGTGGTGGATCGGACTCTCACAACGTGAGAGTGGATGGCACATGAGACACAGTATTGCATCTTAGCGTAAAGCTTTGGTAGAGCGTAACCTGTAAATTCAAACATTACAAACCATCAACACACAATTCGAAACCGGTAACAAATAAAACTAATAGAATCAACAATGCGCAATGAGGAAGCAACACATACCATCGTAGACGCTGGCCTCTTGAACATCCCTGATAGCAGCTTGCTCAACAATGTTCCTTACGATGAATCTCTTGATCGCCTTATCCTATAAACAAACAGAGCCAATATCAAATCAAATTCATTTTCAATCTTAGAAAAATCTTAGTATCGGAAAATGATGAACAGGAAGATGGAACCTTGGGGCAACACTTTCCACAGTTGGAACACCTGATTGGGTTCACATGACCACGGTTATGCTTGTTCCTGCCACCATTTCTACGCTTGAATGTCTGCAACAACAAAAAAATAACAAACCCGATTTCAATACACAATTTTGCTTTGCAAGTCTCTGTGAGCTTGGTTCAGTGTTCCAAACACTGAATCTATCAAAGTAAGACAAGACTTGCCATGTTGCTGCACAGAGATGCAAGTCTCCTCTTGCTTCCGTTCCCTTTGATGCGGCGGCGACAAGGAAGAAGAAGATTGCAGTAACCCTAAATTTCGCAAAATAATCACTAATATATGCAGACCATTGCCGTTTAGGGTTTTATTGGCAGTGGGTTGATTTTGAAATATATGGGCCGAAATTGACCCATTATAAGCCCAGATCTGCTTTAAAATTTTGGCAAACGGATCGCCAAATATAGAAAAACAAATTGACAGGAGATTTGTGATTTTAATTTAATTTTAGTTTCTGAGACAACTAGAAAAATCATTAACAAGACATTATGCTTTCAAGGTACATAGCATTTTAAACTTATTATTGCAACTTCGCTTATTAGTTATTACTCAAAGCTTCGCTTCTATACTTCTATTACAAACAAGACAACATGACCCCAAAAAAAAGAACACTAGAGACTCCATATACGCATAGTTACTAAACATATAGTACATAAAACTGATCAGTTTGTATCAAGATCACGGCTATGCTTCTCGAATACGTCCGCGGCGTATTTCCAGTTGATCACACTCCATATGTTCTTCAAGTACTCCGCTCTTGCATTCTTGTACTGCATTACCCGCACCGATCGATCATAGTTAACATTCAGTTCGATAATTACTTGTTGCTAAAACCAATGATATAATCAGGGAGTGTTAATTATAGTTGAAATTAGAGAGTACCTGTGGGTAGTAGGCATGCTCCCACACGTCAATCCCGATTAGAGGAACAAAGTGTGTTCCTTTAGTCACCAATGGATCCTGTACTTTGCTCCATATGTCAAATGTTTTCTCTTCCTTTTATGTTTTCAAAATATTCATTGATAGCTAGCTGATGATGTTCAAAATTAGTTTCATTAGTAATAAATTGACATACCTGATTGGCGGTGGTCTCAACGACAAGTCTCTTTAGCTCTCTGTCTAACCCAAGCCACTAATTCAGAGGAACCACATACATATTATGGAATCCACCAAAAAACAAAATAAGTCATAATTCAATCAAACAAACAACATTACATTCAATCAATCAAACAAACAAACAAAATAATTCAATCAAACAACATTACATATAATGGCATTTTTTTCATTTCAGACAGAGTCCTACATCACATATCCGATCAAATTAATCAGAATTTTTAGGTTATGTCAGAAGATTAAAAAACTTTCATCACTAACTACCCAAACGTATTGTTAATGAGGTTTTAACAAGAAGCTTACCACCCATCCAGACCCCTGCACAGCAGTGCCTTCCGCGTTCATCTTTTGGATCAATCCCTCTAAGGATCCGAAATGAGCATCAATCGCCGAAGACAAAGGATCGTGCGGTGGCTTCCCACCTCCTTCCTACCATTTCAATTTGACTGGTTGTGTCAGAGACAAAACAAAAATCATAATCAAATAGTAAATGGAGTAACGAAGAAGTAACATATTTGTACATGAACAGGAGCAAGGTTCTTCCAGAATATTGCATGGTTAACGTGACCTATAAGCAAAGCAACAAAAGAAATCAAATTCCATCGGAAGATTCAAATTTTAGCCGTGTAGAGCTAGGTTCTGACCTCCTCCGTTGAACTTGATGAGGCTTTGGAGTTTGACGACAGAGGAGTGATCACCGTCGGCCATGGCAGAGCGAAGGCTGTTGAGGGCTTTGTTGTACTGAGTGACATAAGTCTGGTGGTGTTTCTGGTGATGGAGCCGCATGATCTCCTCGCTTATAGCTGGTTCTAGTGCATCATAGGCATACGGAAGATCAGGCAGTGAGGCGGTCTTCATTGACTCGAGACACGGGTCCATGGTTGTTCCTCCGGCGCCGTAAAGACTCGTAGCGAATATCGCAAGTAAGATTATGAAGACGACGGTGGTCATGCTCCTTTTTTTATATATATAAGTACAAACACTAGAAATGAAGCCAGAGGTGGATTTATTTAGATAAGTATATAAAGATATTAAGCCACGTCGTGTTTGACTGATCCACTCGTCGTTCTGTAACGCTTAGTTGCTCGATTTGTGTCGCAACCTTATGTTGATGCTCATGCTTATTTATGATATGTATATGTTGTGGCTTTGCGCTTTTGTCGTTGTGTATTTTAATAAAAAGCCAAAGCTCAAGTCCAACGATCCAATCCTTATATATGCGAAAGATCAACGCAACTAATAAGAAATTAAGAATTCGGATTAGCGTAGCCAGGTCTACACAAGTAGGCGCCAAGCCAAACTCACCACTAAGCAGCCACGAGTCATCATGTGAATCTCTTGAATAGTTTTTGCTTTCGCCGAGTTTGAATCTCTGAAAAATTGGGTTCATATGTCATATAGGCCTAACCAAATCTACAACAACAATTCCATTCATACTTCAAAAAAGAAAATGTGTTTGGATTCTTTACACAAGCAAAATAAAAGCCCACAAAACTTTCATCAAAACGATAGGCCTAAACACATTCTAAGAACCGTACAGCGTGGAGTATGACGTGGCGTAACCAGTGGTCTAGATTAAAGGTGACGTGGATGACACATGAACTCCACAGTTTAAATTCGTTTCCAGCGTGTGCCCGCCCAAGCCATGCACACAGCTAAACCGCGTCGCCACGTTCTCCTTCCCCCATATGCCTTCGCGTAAAATGCAACCGTTCGATTTCGATCCAACGGTTATTATCAAATCTCGTCGGGTCTTTATCGTCTAACTTTCCTGGGAATAATCACCAACTTAGGCCACCTCAGACTTTTCAGGATAACGTGAAGAATAAGTTAAACGCGATCCGTACGTGACCTAAATCACAACCGTCCGATCAAACAACTTACACAAGTCCATGCTGGAGGATTAAAAAAGAAAACTAGTTATATAAATAATAATTCATTCATCATTGGATTGTGTGTGGCTGCGTCAGTAAAACGTATTCTTAAAAGCAACCATTGGTCTGATTGCTTCTTCTATTAAGAAACCTTCAAATTGAATCGGGGTATATAGCGTGAAGCAATCTTCAATCTCCAATCTCCTATCGAACATCTTCTCCGCTTCTTCTATCTGCAATCGAATCTTCCGGAGATGGCGGCGTCTGCGAGGATTTGTTGCGGAGGGAGTGCATGTGCCGTTCGTTCTGATCGGCGTACGGTGGATTTGAATTCTCGATCGTTTTGTGTTGTTCCGGTTACGAATAGACGGAATTGGTGTGGGATCGGGAAGATTTCGATGGCGATGGATGATTTGGCAACGCCGTCCGCGGCGGTGAAGGTTGATCGGATGGGTGAAAAGAAACGTGGCGGATCTGTTGTGTCGAGGGAGAAGCTTGATGTGTGGTTGAGAGATTCGGTGGTTGAGATCGTCAAGAATCTTAGAGAGTCTCCGCTGTTGATGCATTTATACGCGGAGGCTAATGGTTGTTTGACTACCACGGCGACGAATCCGGAGGCAGAGGATTGGCCGGAGATGGAAGGGAGGTGGGGAAGAGGAGAAGAGAGGACGCCGGAAGGGGTTGTATTCGTTGAGAAGCTTGCGGACGGCGACATAGCGGATCGAGAAGGAGATGACGGTGAAGATGATTACGATGGAACCAACGACGGAGGCGCGTGTGGAGATACGAGCGCGTGGGGGATTGTGGCGCAAGGAAGAGGAACAGATTCTGGACCGGTATGTTATTTGTTGAAAACGACCCGGGTTGGGTCCGGTATGGGGACGGTTTGCACACATTTCTGCTTGGTTAAAGTGAAGAGTTTTAGGGAGACGGCGATGTCACAGTTGAATAACTCATGGTTGGTGCAGACTGGTCAATGAAATTGAAACAGTGATTATCAAAAAGGATTGATCTGTATATTATTAATTTTTATTCACTTTGGGTTTAGATTATGGAACCCTTATGGATGATCATCAAATCACCTTTGTTTGTTAATTTACACAACATTTTTTTAGAAATTTGGATTTGGTGAATTTAAAATGTAAAAATGAAAAGGTCAAGTTTAATTATTGGTTATAGTGATTGGTTTTATCAAAGAACATTGTTACTACTGTGGTTTGAATCAAGGTCAACAGTCGAAGACAAGTAGACCAGCTTGTAAGATCAAGAGGTTCCCCAGTAGTATAAAGAAATTGATCCTATGACGCCGGAAACATTCCGGAATCAATCACCGGGAGGGAGAAGAAATAAAATATAAACAACGACGTCGTAGGACTGACATAATTGTGATTGGACAATAATAGACTTCTATTACAGCTCTTTGCCGCGTAAATCATGTCGACAATGGATTTGAGATCTTTAAGGCCCGTAAATATGGACCGTATAAAAGGCCTTCGTTCCTCTGGGCTACGAATTAACTCAACGACGACATACGTAGTTACCTTTTTAATATTCTAGAGATTCCAATACAGAGAGCTTCATGTTTATGGTTCGACTAGAGATAACTTTTTTTTTTTTTTTTTGGTAACAGTGTGAAATTCTAGAGAAAACCTCAGGTGACCTAATCTGTTATTTATAAAATTTGGACATAACTAAGAGAGAGCTTCAAGTGAGCTTCATGATTATGGTTTTACTATAACAAATAAAATTATTTTTGAACCTACAAGTATCCTTGGACCGGTTTTGATGTTATACTTATTAGAAGTTAGTTTGTGTTTTTCTTTTCAATAAAAGATTGCACATAACTTAAACATGTCAAACAAAATTATCGAAGATTTTGTACTGCGTCTACAGTTTTCTTGTCCAACAACACTGTAAAAGATGGATAAGCTGTATAAGTTGCAAACCGATTAGTCCTAAGTAACTTATTTTCAGGTTCCGATGAAATAAGGTTAGCCTCTCTAATTGGCATAAACGTTAGATGGCATCTCATTTTAATGCAATAGTGTATTTTCAAATCAATCTTTAAGTTGTGAATTAAGAAAGTAATTCTTTTGGCAAATTACCCAGGCTCGGTTCTGCTTTGGACGATGTGAATTTAGTACTGTACAATGTGTACATTGTTGTCTTCTATTCTTTTTTATTGAAGTGACAAATTTATGCTTCCACAGTCGTATTAATTTCTTCTTTCCCAACTCCGAGAGAGAAAAACGTGGTCTGTTTCAGACAAGGCATGCTCAATTCCTCTTTTTATTGGCCATTGAAACTAGGGTTCTTCTGTTTTCATTATTACTCTAAAAGCCAAACTGAATAATGTATTTTAATTTCCGATTCTTGAGACGTTTCCTCGATTCCCATAATCCAATAAAAGATCGGAAGAGACTAATTGATAAGTTTTCACAGAGTCCCATGCACATGGTTGCAACAAATGAAGCTTCTTGAAGTTCTTATACACTCACTTCTTGAAAGTCTTGGGAAGTAGTATTTTATAGCAGTCTTTTTCTTGATTCTTGATTTTCTTAAACCTAAAGTTTTTTATTTGTTTGTCTCACAAGAAATTCTATCTTCTAGTATATATGACTGCTAAAAGAAGGTTGAAACATGAGATGAATACTGCATCTTTCTTTCATAACAATTAAAGATTTTAACAAAAGAGTTCCAAATTATGGAACCCGGTGAAGACAAATCCGATGAAACTCTAAAATGTTAAGAACAATAAACAGAAGAAGCTACAAACAGTGAAAACTGAAACTAAAAGACACAAAACATAACACTTAGGAGATTTATAAAAAATAAAATAAAACACAGACAAGGATCTCTCTTACAAACCCAAATGAACAAACCGGATTCCTCTTCGCCGGAACAAACTTGGTAGTGAAATAACATGTTAGTTTTGATTTTTTCAACTCGAACCCAACTCATCTGAGCTTCCTGAAGGGCATCTGATCATCCTCAATATGTTAACAGCTTCTCCCATATGTGGTCTACTAGATGGAACCTGAGAAGTGCAAATAAGCCCTAGTTTTATCACTGCAATCGCTTCTTCTACCGGAAACTTCCCTTGCAGCCTCGGATCAATACATTCATCTGCTCTTCCATCTTCAAGGGCTTCTCTCACCATGTCACACAGAACCACAACATCATCCTCCATATATTCCACAGGCTTTTTACCCGTAACCACTTCAAGAACCAAGACTCCAAATCCGTAGACATCGCATTTCTCTGTTATTTTCACCGTTCTACAGGCAAACTCTGGAGCCATGTATCCCAAAGCGCTCTGTATCTTACTGCTTAGAACGTACCTATCTAGCATGGGTAACAGCCTCGCTAATCCGTAGTCTCCGACTTTAGGCTCACCAGAGCTGTCTAGCAACACATTGCTCGATTTGATGTTGTAGTGGATGATGTTTGACTGGTGCAAATAGGCTAAGCATTTGGCTGTACCGAGGATGACGTTGAACCGGTCATTCCAAGAAAGCAAGCTACTACCTCCTGGTGCTTCGTGTAAGTGTTTATATAAACTCCCACCAGAGAGAAACTCATAGATAAGAAGCTGAAGAGATGTTGTCCAGTAATAACCTTCGAGTTTAACCAGATTTGAATGCCTGAGTTTCCCAAGTTTCTTGACCTCCCTTTCGAATTCTTCCTGAGACTTGACAAGACTCGAGACAGTGAGCTTCTTGATAGCCACTGGATACCCATCTCTGATAACTGTTCTGTACACTGCTCCAAATCCACCTCGACCGAGCTCACAGTCTTTGTTAAGCAGAGCATGCGTTCCCGTGCTGAAATCAGGTTCACCTGAGAACATCACAAGCTTCCCTGAGTTGCTATCAGTAGTGGGAGAACGGCTGAAGTCATCTCCACCTGAGAACGTGAGCGGTACAGCTGATCTTGAAACTGTTGATGCCCGCACTCTCAGATTAAGTACTGTGATGGCTATTACACCAACCACAATGGCTGCAGCAGCACTAATGGCAATTAAAGAAGATATACTAAGAAGTATCCTTTTGTGACCAGCACCAGGAGGCAGTACTTCACCCGAGTAAGAATCAAAAGTTGCATTAGGATTCAACACAATTGGTTTAGGGGAGACAGCTGGACAAGAGTTGTTAACAACAGCACCGCAAATTCCTGTGTTTCCTGATACTGAACTTGGGGATAATCCGTTGAAAATTCCACCTGCAGGCAGTTCTCCAAAGAGATGGTTATGAGACATGTTGAAGGTGTGAAGATAGCCAAGATTAGCCAACTGTTTAGGAAGCGTTCCAGTCAGTTCATTGAATGATATGTCGACTTCTTCGAGTTTTGTAAGTTTGGCTAGTTCTGGTGGAATAGTGCCTACCAGTTTGTTATGTGACAGGATCCTGTAGAGAGAAGCATGAAACAGAACACAGTTAAGACATAATCTTTAATGGGGAAATCTTTAACTGAATACAACTAGAAGCAAAAGAGACTTACAAAGACCGAAGGGAACTGCAAGTCTTGATGGAAGACGGAATATTTCCCTCCAACAAGTTATTGTCTAGTCTCAACTCCTCTAAAGAAACAGCTCCACCTGTTTCTCGAGGAATCGTTCCGTTAAGCTGATTGTGACTCAAATCAAGGACGCCCAAGTGCTTTAGGTCCCCAATTGCACTGGGGATGGGGCCAGTAAGAGAGTTTCTGGACAGATGCAAACCCTCCAAGTCTCTCAGATCTCCGAGACCAGCTCCAATCTCGCCAGAAAAGGAATTGTGGGAGAGATCCAACACCTGGATCTTCTTGATACCTCCAGTGGAGTTATCATTCTGTAATGCAGAAACATCACGAGAACCATCTTGAAATATCCACATGGGAAGCTTTCCAGTTAGTGAATTCCCACTAAAATCCAAGGCCAAGAGGTTGATACAGTTGGCTGTTGAGTCCGGCAAGCTACCAATAAGCCCATTCCCAGAAAAGTTAAGAACTTTCAGTGCTAGAAGGTTGCCTATGGATTCTGGAACCTGCCCTGAAAACTTGTTCATTGAAAGATCCAAAGTCTCAAGACTCCTCATTTCTCCGATCCATTTTGGAACTTCCCCTTCCAACGCATTCTTTCCCAAGTTCAGAGAATAACACAAACTGAGCTGCTGAAATGTATCTGGTAAGGTCCCAGACAGAGAATTATCACTAAGATCAATAGTCTTCAGCAGCATACAGCTCCCAATTTCGCTAGGAATAGGACCAGATAACCTGTTTCTACTCAAATCAAGCGAACGCAAGTTGTTCAACCTGTCTATCTTCTCTGGAAACTCTCCCTCTAATTCATTCCACGACAAATCAAGCGATCTTAAAGTGTTCAAAGACCAAATTCCGGAAGGCATAGAACCAGAAAAACGATTTGAAGACAAGTTTAAAGCAGCAAGAGATGAGCACGAGCTTATACTAACCGGAATCTTCCCAGTTAGCTTGTTCTTAGCCAGAGACAAAACTCTCAATGACCCACATTGCCTGAAAAACCCATCAGAGAGCGAACCAGACAGCGCATTGCTACTCAAATCAACAACTTTAAGGTTAACAAGGCTCAGCAGCAAATTAGGGTTAATGATCCCCGTCAGATTGTTGTTGGAGAGAGAGAGCTTATGAAGAAACTCAAGCTGAAGTAGCCCACGGCCAATTCGACCGGAGAGAGAGAATCCATCTAGGTTAAGCTCAGTGACTCGATTCGTTCTGGGATGGCATTTGACTCCGGTCCAGCTACAAGGAGTGTAGTCGTCTTCGTTCCAAGAAGCAAGCTTTTGCTGTGGATCTCGTAAATCGGCTTTGAAGACAATGAGCCCCAAAACGTCGTCGTTTAAAGGCGGGTCTAGAGATCTCACCGGAGCAACCAGCACCACCGACAGCAACCAGACTGAAAAAATCAGTGCTTTAAACATCTTTGCTCGACCCACTTCTCCGTTCTACAGATTTTAGTTGCGGCAGAGTTCCATTTGTTTAAGTATTGAGCTGAAATTAGAAACAAAAACAGATGAACAACAACAACAGATTTAGTAGAGCTCCAAAAACTAGAAACTTTTTTTTGTTCGCATTCAGGCGTTAGATAGAGTACAAGAAAATCAACAAAAAATCAGAAACAACGGCTACATTTTCGACTAGCGGAGAGAAAAAAAAAACACACACACACAAAACAACAACA